CGCTGCTCAGGTAGTTCCTGCGGAACACCATGGTGCCCAGGCCCGGGCGGGTAAACAAGGAGTCGTGGCCTGAGTCGGTGCTGACCTCCGAGTGGGCAGGCTCGGCCGCCAGCGTGGCACGGGAGACGCTGTCCTCGTCGGAGAGGAACATGTCCCGGAGCGGGGAGCGCCCCCACTCCTTGGGGTTGGCGTAGTTGCCCTGGCGCACGAACATCACGTCGCTGCCCAGCTGCAAGCCCGAGAGCGAGCGCACACTCTTGCGGCCGTCCTCGGAGACCTTGAAGGTGCCCTCGCCGCCTTGCTTGCGCCGCTCCAGCCTCCGCTGGATCTTGGTCTTGCCCCTGTTGGTGCCATGCAGGGTGGCCTGCGAGTAGGGCAGGTGGCTGCCCAGCGCCAGGTGCTGCAGCCGGCGGCTCAGGGTGCTGGACGTGAGGCTGGAGAAGCTGAGCGTGTCGGAGCGCTCGGCCAGCTCGCGCCGGTAGCGCCGCTCCATGCGCTCGTGGTGCTTGCGCTGCATCTTGGCGCACTCGCGGATGCGCCGCTCCGCCTCGCGGAAGGCCTTGTCCTTCAGCTTGCCCACCAGCTTGGGGTTGAGGCTGCTCTGCTTGGCCGCGATGGAGTCCAGGTAGCGCACGCACTCCATGTGGCCCTTCATGGCGGCCATGTCCAGCGGGGTGTGGTAGTCGTTGTCCAGGCACCAGATGTTGGCCCCGAAGGACACCAGGAAGGAGAGGCAGTGCAGGTGGCCATTGGAAGCGGCCAGGTGCAGGGGCGTGTTGCCCCAGATGTCACACTTGTCCGGGTCGCCCCTGCAGGGAGAACACGTGGGGCGGGGGGATGAGCCACGGCAGCTCAGGCGGGCCGTCGGCAGTGGCTGCGGGTGAGGGGCACCCCCACGGGCACACCGGCGGGACCCGAGGGCCTGAGATCTCTCCTGATTCCAGGAGACCCGCAGCCCTGGGCCGCTGGTCTGATGTAGACCGGCCCCGGGTACGCAGGGGGTGGGGCGACAGAGAAGGCGGGGCCAGGGCGGGGCTTTCCCCAAGAGAACTGAGGGCTGGGAATCTCAGGGGATGAATAATTGATGCCCAGAGAGAAAGGGGTGAATTATTCATGGGGCCCAGTGGGGAGCTGGCCCAGAGAGGTGGTGGGCCAGGGCGAGTCTGGGTCTCTAGGCAGGCGTGGTGGTGAGCGTGGCTGCGTGTGCGGGGGTGATCGTAGGAGGATGAGGGGTGGTGTGTGCTGGGCCCGAGCCCTGGGTGAGTGCGGGTGCGTGACGGTGCGTGCCTGCGTGGCGGCGGGCACAGCCATGTCTGCAGGGAGCAGGGCCAGGCCTGGCAAGCCCGAGTGTGAGAGCAGGTGTCGGGTCTTGGCCTGGGCCAGAAGGGGAGCGTGGGGGCAGCCAGGACTCGAGGGAGGAGGAGGGAAGTCTGCAACCGGGGCCCAGCGCCCTCTCCGGCCCGCGGCCCCATCTCTAGGAGCCCTGCGAGGCGGGCCTGCCCAGGGAACCTACCCAGCCCGTGCAGCACCCTCCACACCAGATGGTGTCCCCCCAGCAGGGCAGCCTCCCGCTGGCTCCTCCAAGCTCTCCCCTCCCGCAGGAGCCCAGCTCAGTGCCTCTGCCTCAGGCTAATGAGGCCACAAGGCCACCCCTCAGGGCTGGAGAAAGAATCACCCCTTTGTCACTACCGCTCCCTGAGCAACCCCCTCCTCACTTCCCTTCCAAGTTGCCAAGTCCCACAGGACCATGTAGGGAGGGGCTGCTGGGCATCTGGTGTCCACACCTAGACCCCACCCTTGCCCTTTGTGGGAGCTGGGGGGGGAGTGAGTCCCCCTGAGGGAGGGGCAGGAGGGCAGGATCACGTGTGTCCTCTTGGGGTGGAGAGGGGCCAGTCTTAGCCTTTCGGAACATGGTTCAGCTGCCTGGTTGTAGGGGCTGCCCCCCCCCCAGCCCCCCACCTGCTGGGCCCCAGGAACAGCCACCCAGGGCGGGCAGGGGGTTCCCCCACCCACCACATAGTCAGGCCACAGGCCAGCACCCTCCACCATGTGCCCAGGACCCTCCTAGGGCATCTCCTCCTCCTCCTCCTCCTCTCTGTCCAGGCTGCCCTGGTGTCTGTCCCCTTCAGCCTGCCTTCTCTTTCTAAATCCGCTGGGGGCGGGGAGTTGTCCACAAAGCCCTTCAGCCCCAGGAGCCCCCTTCAGTCCCTGAACCCTGCATTCCTCAATGGCTACCCCCAAACCCTTCCCTGGCCCCGACGCCTGGGCTCTATGCTCCCCCTCCCCGACAATTCCAAAGGGAGGGAGGGGAGCCTTCCGTGGGGGAGGGGGCAGCGGGAGTTGCGGGCTGGCTGAACCCAGTGACATTTGGTGCTGTGGGCAATGCCCATAAATCCCGGCAGGGAGCCAAGAGAGAGAGTGTGAGCCCAGCCAGGGGGGCAGGGGGGACACTGCTGGGCGAGCCCTCCGATCCAGGCTGGGTGGGCAGCGGGGACCCCTCCTTTCCTAGCCCCCTTCTGTCCCCTCTGAGGCGTCGGCACCTTCTCTCCCCTCTCACTGTGCCTCTCACACTTGCTGAAAGGTGCCGCCCACGCAGGAGACCTCTTCCACCTCCCCCTCCCCCTGCAGCCCCTCCCACAAGCATGAACCCCCAAATCCTAGCCCTCCTCTCCTAGCCCCATATCCAGGTCACAAGTGTCACAGGCCTCAGCCGGTGTCCCCCTCCCTCCCAGACTGCCAGGCCTCAAGGTCCCACCCCAGGGTCCGTCCCTAGGGAAGGGGGCGGCTCAGAGGAGAGGGGCCTGGGGCCGGGAGGGGCTGGGGGCTGAGAGCGCGGACGCTCTGCCCCCTCCCCTGCGGGGCCGGGCTGGGCACTCACCCCCGGCTCACGATGAGGCGCAGCGACTCCAGGTTGCCGTGGTAAGCAGCCCAGAGAGTGGGGGTCATGCCATCCTCGTCGGGGGCGTTCAGCTCCTTCCGGGTGGCCTCCTTGAGAAGCTCCAGGTAGCCGTCCCGGGCCGCCCGGTGGTACTGGTCGTTCATGGCTCCCGACTTGGACGGGGCGGGCCAGCGGCTCGGGAAAAGGCCCCCCGCGGGGG